GTTTTTAGAGTTGACTTAAAAGCCGCTAGCTCAGTTATGGACCATAGCTCTGGCCGTAGAGAATTACAGAGCCTGGGGCCATACACGGCAAAAGAACGATCACCCCATTTTTTGTATCTTGACCGAGGGACAACCAGGGACAGATCCTCTGAGGAGCACAGAGCTCTGCGCGGAGCATAAGCAGAGAGAAGATCCAACAGGTATGGAGGAGCGAGGCCATTCATGGACTTAAATACAAATAGTAGCACCTTGAAGTCAACTCTAGACTGTATTGGCAACCAGTGTAGCAAGTGAAGCACAGGGGTGATGTGGGTGTACCTGGGGGTGTTCGACAACAGTCGAACTGCAGCGTTCTGAACCAGCTGAAGCTTCCGAAGAAGCGATTGAGAGATTCCGACATAGAGGGCATTACAGTAGTCAAGTTGCGAGGTGATGAAAGCATGGATAACTTTTTCTAAATCTGCGTGCGATAAGAAGGGCTTCACCTTCGTTAAGAGTCTCAGGTGAAAAAAGCTGGTTTTAACCACAGATCTGAGCTGCTTATCAAAATTACAGCCACTGTCAAATATCACTCCAAGATTTTTCATGGTATCAGTGAGTGAAGGTGCTAACGCTAAAGCACCTAGACTGGATACAACAGCAGCAGCTGAATCGGGGCTAAAGATGATGTACTCCGTCTTGCTCTCATTTAAGTGGAGGAAATTCTGCAATAGCCAAAGTTTAATGTCACGGATACAATTTTGCAGTGGGGTAAGTACGTTAGAATTGCCTGGTATCAACGGCACGTAAATCTGAACATCATCCACATAAAAATGGAAATGAACATTGTACCTTGATATGATTGAACCAAGTGGTGATATATATAAAGAAAAAAGTAGCACCTGAGGTCAGAGGGGCTATGGTGGAAAAGTAATCGCCGATCATGACACTAATCAGTTATGTCACTAATCAGTCTTATCTGTCCTTCTTCAATCTGCGCACTGCAGGCGAGCGCATCCTGGGTTACCCAGAGGAGCCGTGCTACCTCTGGTTCATCATGGAGTTTTGTGAGGGTGGAGACCTCAACCGGTACGTCTTGTCCCGCCGGCCTGACCCCCAGACCAACAGGAGCTTTATGCGTCAGTTGACGAGTGCAGTAGCTTTCCTACACAAGAACAACATAGTCCATCGCGATCTGAAGCCAGACAACATCCTCATCACACAGAGGTCTGGATCCCCTGTCCTCAAAGTGGCTGACTTTGGCCTCAGTAAAGTCTGTGCTGGCCTCAACTCCAAGACCAGTGAAGAACACCCTGCGGCGAGAGCGGATGGCAGAGGCAGTGACCAGAATGACTTTGTCAACATAAACACATTCTGGCTGTCGTCAGCTTGCGGCTCAGACTTCTACATGGCCCCTGAGGTGTGGGAGGGCCACTACACAGCCAAGGCTGATATATTCGCCCTGGGCATCATTATCTGGGCAATGATTGAGCGGATCACCTTCATCGACGCAGAGTCTAAGCGTGAACTGCTGGGTACCTACATCCGGCAGGGCACAGAGATCATGCCTGTTGGGGAGGCTCTGTTGGAGAACCCCAAGATGGTCCTCCACATCCCTCAGAAGGCCAGGAGCTCCATGTCGGAGGGGGTGAAGAAACTACTCCTGGACATGCTCGCAGTCAACCCTCAGGACCGACCAGACGCGTCCCAGCTGGAGATGCGGGTGGACCAAGTCACGTGCGCTGCGTGACAGTGCCCACCTTTCCAAAATCTCTCCTTTTTACCCTAACCATTGGAAGAAGGGAGCTCCTCCCTTTCTAGGTGAGTACACCTTCCTTGGTAACTTATTACTTTTGCTATCCTCACACCTTTAAGAACTTTCTCATTAAGTTGTGTGCAACAGACCAAACAGCTGAGTTCACTGATTTATCTATCTGTAACCAGAGGGGAGGAGCAGCCAAGGACACGAGCTGCTTCTCTGTGACACTGCCACTGGCCTCTGGTAACCTGGGGCTGAAGACGGCTAAGCTTCCTCTCAGCTGACACCATTAGCCTCTCCTGTTCTGGCCTCAATTTATTGTTGTAGTTTACTACTTTTTACTGTGTGTTTGAGAAATGTCCTGCTCAGACGCTACTGTGAAGACATTTTCATCCTGTCCAGCGGCCAGACTGACATTAGTGTGGGTCAGGCAATTCTAGGAGTAAAACTGGGGGGGTCTATGTCATATATGCCACTTTATTAGGAAGGTAGGCTGAAAATTAGCCCACTAGAAATGTAGCTAATGATCTAGTGGCGGAAGAAGTACTCAAATAAAAAGCAACAATACCACAGTGTAAAATTACTCTGTTAAGTAAAAGTACAAAAGTCCTGGCATCAAAATATACTTCAAGTACAAAAAGTAAAAGTACTCATTCTGCAGAATGGCACATTTTACATGAACATATATCATAATTCTCAGTTATAATTATTGATCTGTTATTGTTCAAATCACATTTTGCAGCGGCTAATGGCAGAGCAAATTTGAACAATCTTTTATCTTTATAATTTGAGGTACTGCTGGGTAGCTTGTGAATTTCTCACCAGGTATCGGTAAAGTTGATAATATTTAGTATAGTTAATCTCATTCTGAACAGTAAGTAGTAACTATAGTTGTCAAATAAATGTGGTGGAGTAAAAAGTACAATATTTGCCTCTAAAATGTCATGAAGTCAAAGTATGACGTAGGAGAAAATTTAAAATACTCAGGTACAGATACATCAAAATTGTACCTAAGTACCCTACTTGAGTAAGTGTACTTAGTTACTTTGCACCACTGCTCTCACTGCACTGGAAGACTGTACCTACAGTCAGTACAGTAGGTCAAGCTGTTCTGGATTTTACAACTTGAGCTGCAACAATTAGTCCATTAGGTGATCGAAAAAAATAATTGTCAAAGCTTCAAATGATTGTTGTATTTAATATTATCTGACTGACAAGATCTTTAGAGTAAAAGTACAAAAGTCCTGGCATCAAAATATACTTCAAGTACAAAAAGTAAAAGTACTCATTCTGCAGAATGGCACATTGTACATGAACATATATCATAATTCTCAGTTATAATTATTGATCTGTTATTGTTCAAATCACATTTTGCAGCGGCTAATGGCAGCAAATTTGAACAATCTTTTATCTTTATAATTTGAGGTACTGCTGGGTATTGTTCATCTTTTATTTTCTATTTTGTTTGTGTAAGAATTTTATCTTTGCTGGTGGGAATGATCAGCCGAACGTGTGAAACTAGACCTGTCCTTTAAGATGAATATCACACAAATTGCTTCTCTGCGAGTAAATCTGGTGATCTGTTGAGCCACGGGAACCAACGCTGGTTGACCCGACATCCGACAACACGTAGCTCCTAAGCCTGACTGCTCCTCCTGTTTCTGTCAAAGCTTCCCACGTCACTGTTGAGGAAACGGGATTAACTAAGGTGAAAGTATCTACTGCAGGGCGTTGAGGTCAAGGCCCCAACCTGAGCCACAGGTTCACATCACGTCTGGTGTTAATAGAGCTCCCAGCTTGTTCTGCAGTCAGTCATTGCAGGACAAAGTGAATCATGGTTAACATGAATTCACATATACAAAAGTGTAGAGAAGGCTGAAGTAACAGGAGGTGGAGCGGGTGGCGTGGGAGGACAGCATTGAGATTGGTACAGCCTGGGCCTGAGGGCAAACAGCCTGGCTGCGGTTCAGTGCACACATCAGGGTGTGTGTGCGAGAGACAATGAAAAAGTGCAGCAGAAACACTGGCAGAGATCCATTAATATATTGAAGGGTTTCTGGCAACAACCTGACAGGATGTGTCCTGTTCACACCCGGCGCTTCCTGACATCTCGTGGAAACCCTGCAATCCGACTTCTGTTTCCTCAAGTTTAAGTCCTTTGGTTTATTTCCTGGTGGAGAATGTCCTGACAGGTCTGCCTGCTGTGTTCATACTCAATGAGTTGTGCATGTTTCCTTGTTTTTGGAACTGTACACTTACAGTATGTCCATGCATGTGAACATACTGGTCTCTAAGTACCTTATTTTTATTTGAACTTATTTCCTAAAGCACATTCCTCTTGCTTGTTTGCACATTACTTTCTTTCCTTTCTGTCCTCTCAGCCTTATGTTGTTTACTTGGCCATTGCTGCCTTACATAAGGACATGTACATGCACATTGAGAGCTGCTGTGTCAGAGTCAAATTCCTCATGTGACCAGCACACCTGGCCAGTAAAGCTGATTCTGATGCGCTGTAGCTCATACAGACAGTGACAGACGAAAAGCTGTAGCTATTTGTACTGGACCGTTTTGATACAGGGCTTTGTGCACGGTGCTGATGTCTTTAAGAGTGGTTAACAGCGGGTTTGTTTTGTGATCGGGACATTTTTTCACGCCCACGTTCCCACAGATCAGTGCACTATAAACATAGAAGCTTAGCTTAGCTGAGCGAGCATCATGAGCAATGCAAACAACAAGCCAGAGCTAGAAGAGCCTCCCCTATCGTGGTCTCCTGTCTGGGAAACTGCTCGGCTTCCTGGTGAAGTACAGCAGTGGACAGAGACTAGTGGATAAGGTGCCTTGTTTGTTCAGCACTTAATATATTGTTCAGTGGTAATTAGGTCAATTTGAAACAGTACCAAGTGAACATGAATATCATTGCTGCAAGGAAAAAATGTAGTATTAGTAGTAGTTAGCAGCAGTATTCTATTTTATTTTTATACATTTTATTAAAGTTTTATTTACATTTTTAAAAAATAGTATATTTTTCCCCTTACTGTGCCAAAAAACCAAACCGTGTACAGACCTGTTATTGTTGCGGACCGTTACCCTTCCAGGTACTATAGTCTTCTACCTTTAAACCTTCTGTTCTGAGTGATGAAGAATATTTTCACCACAGTTTTTGGTTGACACTTATGGGAACAATGATTTTAACTTTATGAATCATGAAGGACCTCATTTAATTCATTTGTGTTAGGAGAAGAAAGCTGCCTCTTCTGAACTAAACATTCACACTGAGCAGGGATCAACTTTTCCTGCAGTGTTGACAGGAAAACGTTTTTTTAAGACTTTATTGTGTCAGTTTGCGGTTTAGAACAGAAACTATATTTAGCACATCAGTGAGCGGCTGCTGCTCAGCGACCCCACCCTGTCTATTTGAGCTTGAACCCTCCACTGACCAGGATGAAGTCCAGCTGTTGTCTGAACCAGGCCACGACACCTGGAGCCTCTGTACTGTCTTTATGTTGAGAATCCTGTTTGATTTCATTGACTGCATGAACAAGCATTTTACAGGTTGAGGCATTTTCAGGGTGTTGACCTTGTTCTGCACCCGTGAATGGCTCCACATAAGAACCGTATTAATGCCTTTCAGCAGGTTGCGTGTGTCTTCCATCTTCTCTTAATGCTCCAAGCGGTGCACATTTGGAACAAAGACAGTAGGTCTGAGAGAATGCTGAGCTTGCGGCTCTAAAGGAAATGAGGTTGTGTGGACAGCAGCGTGTTGCCAGGGTACACTTGTGTTCTGTACGGCTCAGTCCCTGGTGGGTATTACGGTGCAGATGCCAGAGGGAGGCTACAGTACCTTTATGAGCGTGTGAAACCATGTGTGGTGAGTGCACTGGCCTTATGTAACATGGATGTAAAAGTGAGCATCGAGTGGCTGAAAAAGTTGTTAATGTTTCGTCAGGGTGCAGAGCAGCAACTGCAGAAACAAGTTCCTACGCAAGTGATCCTCACTGTGTTTATTCAAAAGCTGTAAGAGGAAAAAGCCAGCTCAGTTATCACTTTCCGTTTGTCCATAAAACTCGACGTCTTCCCACACCCTGTACTGTCATGGATAAGCTCTGATCCCACAGTGCACTGGAATAACACAGATCCCGATTTTTTCCAGTCTGGTGTCTCCAGTCACACCGGTTATCTCCTCACTGTCATCTCTACTCACTGCAGCGGCTGCACAGTTTGTTTTGTTTGACGGGTTCTAACAAAGCTCCTAGGTTTGACTTTGACCCCTAAATAATACCTGAGAAGAGACACGGTCAGCGTCTGTTGCAGATAGCACAGGTTTGTGGTGTCACTGTTGTTGTCGACTCTGTGGTGAAGAAGTTCAAGATGGCAGATTACCTGAGGGATGCAGCTGGTGACGGTTCAACACAACGTGGGGCTTGGCCCCTGGAAAACATTAACTTTCAGCTATTGTGGATGAAACTCTACAGATCCTCCGGAGATGTGCTCCAGTCCGTGTTGGACCATGTTTCCCCTCAGTCTCCATTTTAAGACCTTATTAACAGATAGTATTGGGAGTTGTTGGGTCATTGATATCTGGGGCCGTCCTGCTTTGGTTTAGCGGCGTTCAGCTTTCCTGATGTCTGCCTCTCATCCTGGAAAATCGTAATGCTTGGTTGAGTTCTGTGTGTGTTTATTCACAGGGTTTTTGTAGCAGTAATGCTCAGGTCTGCAGATATCAGACGTTACTTTAGAGAACTCTCTTAATAGTAGCACAGTTGTATTAGACAGCATATGTTACCCCCCACCCTCCACCCCCCCTTACTGAATGCCATCCCAACCATCAGATGTGACCCACACATTGGTTTTTGTCCAGATATTTGCCGGAAAACATCCTTTGTTTTGCGTCACTGGGAACATGGAGGCACGCCCCTAAACGTATGTAATGAACCATTTGTGTGGCTGTCAGTCAAGTGGTATGTGTTGCTTTTCATGCCACGCCATCACAAATCAACTCTGAGCTCGTAAGACGCCGACACTCCCTTTCCAGATAATCCTAGAGAACTGCCGCAGGGACGCCAGCCCCCATTGTATATGCAGTGATCCTGGTCTCTTCTGGTTTTCAATAAGCTCGTCTGCTTTTGGGTTGTGTAACGGCAAATGGCGGGCAGGGGGTCCGAGGACGGAGTAGGCCTGAGTTAGTCCAGGATCTGACGGGCTTCCGACGTCAGCTTGTTTCTTTAGTTTTACTTGTTGATGCAGCAGCAAGTGTTTGACCAAGTGTTTATGTTGTACCCTGTTCGTTTTATCAGGGTTCAGCATTCACACTATAGAACACAAACTCAGACTGATCAGACCAATGTATATCTTGGTAAGCAACTGGCACGTGCACATTCCTGTGTTCTGAGAACATTCATACATATGTTTCCCTAAAGGCCCTTGAAAACTGAAACAGATTCAGGACTGAATCCCCCAGTTGAATTACTTTCTCTGCAACTTAGCTGCAGTTCAACAGCAGAGCACAGACCTTATTTCAGGCATCTAACCCAGTTCCATTAAAAAAACACACACACTGACTTCAGGCTTCAGGGCAAGGGGAGTGGTATCGCAAAAATGCTGCCTCAGTTCCAGGTTGTAGGAGTCATTACTACGGCACTATTGTCCTGATTAAATGACAGGGTTGCTAAAACAGTGTTACTATGAATATCAACACCTCAAATCATTTTCTTTCCACTCTGACTTCTGACTACATTGGTTGTGTAGGGAGATGTGAGAGCTGCAGACACGGACAGGAAGCGCTGCATCCGTCTGCGTGTTCCAGGTTTGTCAGCCGAGGTTGGATGTCCCAAGCCAACGGAGTCACAATGAGTCGAATAATCGTGGCAGCACACTAGGATTAAAACACGCATGCAAACACCTTGAACAGATTAATTCCATTCTGTTTAAAACTGCTGACACAATCTGTCACAGCCCAGTGAAAAGATTAGTCTGTCATGCAAAAGCTCCCTCTGAATACTCGGTTTAGCTCACACATGTGAACCATGTCTCCTGCTTAATACCAACTTTTACTTTGATAGAAAGCACAACCGTGAACCAGTAAATCTTCCCACGAAAGCCATTGACGGGGCTTCATATTTGTCCAAGCTGCGCTGATGGAGCTGTGCTGCAGCCTGTGGAGCATTAGTGATTATGTAAACACCTGGTGAGACTTTTCATTTGGATCCGCTTCACTTTAGAACATAAGGGTGTGTAGAGTTGTGCAACCTATCCATGGTGGTTTGAATAGTCAGGTATGAGAGGCATGCTGTAAGACGTGTGCCTCAGGTCAGAGTCCACACAGTTCCTTGGAAAAGACGCTCAGCTGCTTCTGGACCAGCAGGAGGTAAAAACAACCTCTCAGGGCACCGTGAACTCATCAGCCGGTCTTTCCACACTGATAGTTTAAAGAACAGATTATCAGCTGTGATGGTAAACTGCAGGAAAACAGGGTTCAGGTCAGAAATGAATTGATTCCTTTTGTTTGTCCAAAGTATGATGAAGAAAGGAGATTGAATCGGCCACCAGTGGCCTCGCCCACCCCCCAGAGAGAGGACTGGTTGATCGTGGCTTTTAACTCGTCAGCATACTTTGTGGCCTGACAGCCCCGTGGCTCTCTGATCCTGTGGACTAAATTCAGTGTGAGGGTATACTTTCATACCTCTGGCTGCATGTTTCATTCGCTTTAGTGCACGTTTTCCAATAGCACCACAGTGGAAAACAACATTATTCATGTGTGTGGAGATGAAATTGCTGATCCTCAGCAGTGACATAAGCACATTGCGTGTCTCCATTCAGCACCTCTGACATGCGTGCTTGCCGTTAAGCTGACCCACTTGTGTTCACCCCATGTGCTGTGAGGTTATGCAACCTGTGAAAAGAGGAACAAAGTGCTGCGGCTGGCGTGTCGGCTGCCGGGCTATTAATAGAGCACAGTGCTGAACTAAACCTGGACACATACACACACTCAGGTGTCAGTCAGGTGGTGGTGGCATTTTCCTGCAGGTAGATGTAGAAGCACTGCATGTTTACAGTGTGACTTTGTCTGCAATGATGGTGACTGTTTATATGATTATCGAGGTGCAAAAACAAAATGAGTTGTGAGGACATTTTGGGGTTTGGAGGTTCAGAGTGAGAGTACAGCTCATCTCATGCATTTAGCATCATTACAGAAAAGGATAACATGATGTATAGGTGGTATTTATTAGAGTTTTGACTTGAAGGACAGCTGCAATCTATTACAACTTTGTTTTTACTTCTAATGAGGCTTGTCTCACCTGTTTGGTTGTTTATAACCTGTCTAGGTGCTGAAGAGTAAAAGGCTGTAGCCAGAAATACTGAGGCCATGACTCCCAGTGAAAAACATTTTTATCCAAATGTCAAACATAAAATGTCTGTAATAGTTTGGTTTTTCCAGGTTCTTTTACTTAATAGAGAATGTGAAGATTTTAAATTAACTTAATAGATGTGGGCAGTGTGAGTGTGAGTGTGTGGTTGTCTGTCTCTGTCAGCCCTGTGACCGCCCATGGACCTGTCCAGGTGGACCCCGCCTCTCGCCCGGCCCCTCCTCAAATCCCCCCTTCAGGATAAGCGGTATAGATGATGGATGGATGTGGTATATACAGTATCTCTTTGACTGTGATCCTCCAAAATGAGTCATGTTATCATAAATTGAACATGGCGTGACGACAACTTCACACTCTCATTCTACTAAGTACTAATGAGCAGTATTTTTGCTGTAGCTCCACGCTGACCTGCTTCCACTCTGTGTCTCTGCAGCTTTGTTTACTCTGTAGACGTGGACTCCAGTGGGAAAGGGGACCCTGACAAATTGAACTGAAGAATCCCAGTTTGAGTGGGAGGTGATGGACTGGCTGGTGATTCCAAAACTGTGGCCCAGGAACGGACAGAATGCAGCCCAGACCCCAGCAGTGCACCCCAGCAGCATCCAGTTCCAGTCTGGTGACACTCGTTCCCAGTATCCCCAGGATAGGTCTGCTCTTTAACACATGCAGTGTTCTGTGCTGTATCAGTGTTCTCCGGTCGAGACATGGGCTAGCCAACATTTTACTGTTGATAGTATGAGGACTCCTACAGATTGCACTACACCACCCCACCCCACACAACCTCATGCCTTAAAGACCTTTAAATAAATGAGTCGGTGTGTTATGGTGGAGGCTGACACACCCAGACAAACTGATCACTGTGGGAGCATTTTAAGCAAAATCCCAGGCTGCAACGATGTCAAGACAGAGTGTAAAGCTGAAACTAAAACCAAGATACTGTCATCGAAGATTTAGCATCAGTGGCACATGAACACCTGTGAATATTAACAGTTATGTCGATTTGAAGGTGGACTACAACTTGATTCACAATTCAGAGGCAGCAGGTGTGTATCAGCTCCATATGGTGCTGTTGCAGTTGTGATCAGTCAGTGTCCAGGAGGGAATTCATACTGGTTTTACTGGGCATTCTTTTCTGATGAATCTGTCTGTTAACATGTTTGCTAAGCTACAGTGTGACCAAGAGGGAAAGGTGATAATGTGGGGTCTGTGAGGGACTGGTCACAAACTGAAGTAACACACTGAATTCAACACGGAAAGTCATTAGGAGACACTGGGTGTTGCTCTGTGCTCTACTGGCCCAGTTTTAAGGTTTCTGATGGGATCAGCCTGACATCTGAGCAGTTTGGAGCCACATGAGGCTGAATTCATCTGAGGACTCGCACAGGAAGCTTGAAGATTTGTCATCTGGGAATAATCTCAGAGAGCAGCTCCTTCCTTCCTCTCTTTATTAAAGTGCTTCAAACTGTTTGCTGTGGCAGATCAGACTGCCTAGAGCGCAGTCAGGCAGAGGGCGGTGGTTTGATTCGTGAAACCAATCACTACAAGGGAACCCTGGTCTTAAAAATATTGAACCACAAGCCACATGAACAGGTGAGATGGTACTTGAAGCAACAAAAGCAAACGGGGGCAGCTGAAGCACAGAGGACGGTGGTGAGCCTGAACAGGGTTGGTATAAAACTTGCACCTTCCAGCACATACTGTGCCAGAGAGGTGGGTTCTTATCGCTGTGTAGCAACTGTGTCACGTTTTCTAGTTTGGTCCTACCTCATTCTTAGCACTCGGTAATGTCCGACCTACCTTAACGGTCTCATTACTGTCTTTCTGGAACACAACAGATGTTTACCTCAGACTCTTCAGTCCTGGACCTCCTGTGACAGACTTCTCTGTGTTTGGCTTAGCTACAGCTACCACCTAGTTCTTCCTTCTGTAGACTTCTCTGTGTTTGGCTTAGCTACAACTACCACCTAGTTCTTCCTTCTGTAATGACTCCATCTGCAGCAGGTCCTAACCTCGCTCACTCTGTTACACAGCTAGTCCTGCCCTACGCCCAGACAACTATTATGTTGTTGGCATTCAACAACTACAGCTCTGCTAATCTGATAACAGCCCCAGGACCTTTGTGTGTTTCTATCACATTATCTTAGTGACTGATGGTACAATACGACCATGTCTGAAGTGTTTCTATCTATTTCAAATGGCCTCAGTGGAAGCAGTGCATAGACACCTGCCATCACTTTCTCCTTATGACTGCGTCCCTCTCTCAATCCCAGTCTCGAGACTGGATTTGTGTGAACTCAGATGGCAGTGCTTCCTTTGGAACGGCTCAGTGTGACATGAAAATGATCCTGTAGGTGACAACAGGAGTGATGAGGAGTAACGCGCGACAAGAATAAGCTTATTTGCTTTCACTCTAATTGAATAGTAGTTGTTGAATGCTAACACAGATGCTACTGTTATTGAAACATGAAGATGTTTGATTTTTTTTTTTTCATTCTGGGCTACAGGACTAATGGCACATTATTTTCCTTTGGGATGTTGAATCCGAGTCCAGGATGCATGTTTCTCTAAGTGTTAAACCTCATGTTATATGGTTGATAGTGAACTGAGCCTCGTTACAACAGAACCATCACTACGAACACTTGTCTGCTCACCCTGCTGTCACTCTGTTCCTGTTAGCTCTCTTCAGACTAGTGACGATTCCACTTGAAAACACTTTAAACTATGCAAAACTTTTCAATGAGTCACTGTAAACACCGTGCACGGCCCAATTTTCTCTTCACTCATATATGCAGTGTGTACAGATGCAAGTTGCAGATGTCATGTATAATAAGAACTGTATTTTGTAAATGAAGCTGACAGGAGCCATTCAATGTTTGAGCATCAAGTTTTTTTGTTGTAAATATGTTTGACAACTTGGAATAAATGTATAACTCTGGATTAACTGCACGTGTGTGTGTGTGTGTGTGTAGCTGTGTGGACAAATTTTACTTTGAGGTTCAAGACTTAGAATACAGTTTAAGATTCAGGTATATCACATTACAACTTGTATAGCTTATTCTTCCCATGCAGTGACCCCAGGAAATGCAGCAGCTAACAACAGAAAGCGTAACACGGGGCAGTGATCCTATTGGCTGAGACAAAGTGGAACACCCCCTTCTATAATGGGCATGTAGGAGATCAGCTCTGCCATGTCACAGTCCTGCTCAGAGACGCAGTCCAATCGACCTGCTGGATTATTTGGCATGTGTAGATTAATGATGGGTGGGGGTCAGGCCAGTGGTTTTGTGTGTGTGTGTTATTCGTGTGCGGGGGTGGGGGGGGGTTTT